CCCTGGGTGACACAAACTGTTTGCACTCAACTACTAACCTAAAGGTAGGTGGTTCAAACCCACCCAACATTGCCACAGAAGAAAGGCCTGGCAATCTGCTTTCATAAAGATTACAGCCAAGAAAACCCTTTGGAGCAGTTCTATTCTGGAACACATGGGGTTGCCATGAGTCAGAATGGACTCAACAACAACAGGATTTGGGTTTGGTTATAATACCTGTCTAAAGGGGGGAGGTCAGGGATGATTCCTATGTGGAAGTAATATTGGAGCCAAGTGTCTTTAAGATTGAGATGGTGCTTCCCAGCTGGACAGAGGTGGTACTAAGGAGAGGCATAACAGTGAAAGACAGCAAACAAGTGCAAAGGCACATGCTACTCCTGTTTCAAATCTGTTATACTAGATACACCTTGTAGGAGTCTTACCATCAAAGGTCAATTAATGATGATGATTATAATTTAAAAACATTTTTGTGAGGTTGGAGCAACTCTAAAATAGTAATTCAGGAAAATCTCAAACTTTGCTCTTCAGTTGAGACTCATATTTTAAAAACCTTATTATTATTTGTGGGTCTATTTTAGGATGGCTTTAGATGACAAGCTGTACCAGAGAGACTTAGAAGTTGCACTAGCTTTATCAGTGAAGGAAACTCCAACAGTCCGCATTGATGTGTCGGAGTCGCAAGAAAAAAGTAATTTTATTTTCTGTATGTTTGTCTTTAAAACTCGCTTACTGATTTTGTAAACATTTCTTTGGATGGGCCTTCACAGAAGAAAGAGGTTTGAATACTTTGGGCTATTAATAGAGCTACAAGCAGAGGATGCAATTGGATTCAAATGTTTATTCAGCTGCATAAGTCACATACATACGTATTATGCTTAATACCTAAGGATAGACTATGAGCCTGGGTTTTCAAATTGTATTTTGGTACACTGTGAAAATTTAATTTATTTATCAAATGAATTGATCTGCACAATCCTAACAATCCATATCCTCTCCAGATCAGTTGAACATAATCTAATGATGATAATTTTTATTTTTGAATGTTAAAGGTACTAATTTGGTTAGCAGTCTCAGTAGATTTAAGAGGTTTATGCCTTCTGGATTTCTCTGTGAATTTTTCTCCTTTGATTTTTCCGGTGACTATGCGGCAGATGGCAATATTGACTTTCTGGAGAGGCAGAAATCGTTCCTAGAAATGACACTTCAACTGCTAAAATGTTTTTTGGATTAAATTATTTTGGCTTAGATTCTTTTTAGTTGGGGAATATTTTAGCCTACTATGTTATTTAAGGTTTTTGTTTTGTTCTTTAAATCAGTATTGCCTCCTATTTGAAAATAAATGAGAGAGATTAGGGAGCCTTTTAATAATCAGAAATCAAAATTTAAAGAGAGAGTTGTCATGTATTATATCTATAGATGAAAAAATGAAATTCATCTCCCTCTCATAAGAGATTATAGAATGTATAGTGAATTTTCTTGGAAGACCACTTCTCACAGAATAATGTACTTTATAACACTGGGATTTAATGATACCAGTTATCATGACGCAAAGGTCTCTTAAAGTACTGTAGATTGTTTTAAGAGTAATATAATGATTAGAGAGTGCTTATGTTAGCAAAAGCATGGATTTGCCTACATGGTAATGATAGCTACTATTTATTGACTGTTTCCTATGTGCTAGATACTGTGATAAGTAATTTCCATGTATGAGCTTGTTTAAACCCTCACAATAACCTTATGAGACACTATTTTTATCTCCACATTATAGATGAGGAAATTAAGTCTTCGAAAGGATAAGCAACTTGCCCCAGGTCATATAGCCAGTTTAAGTGTGTCTGAGTTTGAAACTAAGTCTGTTTGATTTCAGAGCCTAAACTCAACCATATGCTAGCCTCTCCAAGTAAAATCACTGTGCAGCTTGAGTTTAGATCATTTATCTGTATCTATATGCTATTAGATTTTAGCATTAATCTTTCCTATTTCTAGACATTGTTTGATTAAGGTACATCTAAATTTTCTTTCTTATTTATATTTAGGCATTAAAAAATGTGGTAATAGTGAAACAGAAACAGTGACTAAGTCTCCTC